AATTAAAAAGTTAAATTCTCAAATTATGTTTATTATGCGTGCATACGTGCGTGTATATAATGAATAAAATACATATTTATCATAATAAACCAAATTTTTACCAGTATAATTTATGCTACATTCTGACCGCACTTAAGTTAACAGAATGATCTATAATATCGTCACATTTTCAATTATCGCAAATCTTCCAGAGAATACATAATTACTCAACACTATTGGCAGTAGCATAATGTTCCCCTTAAGTTACTGACAAGTCCTGACGCAGTTTCACCGATTATGTGCTGCCAATTCAACGTGCAGAGGATCGCACATGCACATGTATGCATAAACATCCATAGTCACTTATCTATAATCTATAATCGAACGTGCCTAGACACACAACGATCGATCATGTACCTTGTATAGAAATCAATAATTTTCGATGAAGAATCAATTGGTTGCATGGCACTAATGTATGTTACAAATATGTATAGTAATATTTAAGGGAGTATTCTATCTAGAGAGAGACCCCATTTATTTTAAAGTTACTTTTTAGAATTAATAATACATTATGTTATAAAATGCCTGTTACATGAATTGCATCAGTCGTAGTTATCTGAAACAAATAATCCAATTTTTTTTTTAATTCGCAAAAATGTGGTTATAGTTCTAAAATTAAAAAAAATACCGTATTAAAATTTAAAAAATAAAATAATGTTTAAAAAATGACAACCTTTGAAAGTGACCTTGAATTTTGCATAAATTTTTCAACTTTAATATTCTACAAAAAAAATTGTATATATCGATTTTTATGATATAGAATATAATTATACCTTTTCTATAGATAAAAAAAAATTTAGAACGATTATTTCAAATTATTAGGACTGGCGTACTTTATGCCGCAGACATTTTATAATATATGACGGACGCAATCCTTACAATATTGACGCAAATACATTACTTAAAAAATTTTGAAAATTGATTTAAAATACGAATAAATATATGTGCGAAACTTCAATAATACAGCTTTGATAGTTTTTATTTTAATTCTCATCAAGTAATTTAAAAAACGGGATCTTTAGAGTATCCCCTTACACTGGAATTAATACCCACTTAAAGTTAGTGATATTTACTTTTAATATAGATTTAAAAAAAATGTCGTGTTTCTTCGCATTAACGGTATTAATACAATATTAATTTCCTGTTGTATAAAATGACAAGTTGCATATAATAAATCTTTATTCAAACTCATGATTGAAAATAAAAGTTTTTCAAAGATATCCTTGAAAGATAGGATTTGTAATAATAGCGAAGAAATTTGAAGTCCATTAAAAATCACAGAGTATAAGTATTTCATGATGTATTTATCTCTTGATATCTTGTATCAGATTTTTGTTCATTTCATCGAAATATTAAAAATAAAATCGCATGATATGCAATTATTTCAGGGGGGACCATCGATTACTGACAATTTCACGATTTACTTAAAACAATTTAAATTTCACAATTCGTGCTATTTTTTTTATCATTCTTTAAATCAACCAAATCAACGATATCCGTACACACACACACACACACACACACACACACGCGCGCGCGCGCGCGCACGCACACACACATTTATATACCATACATTTGTTCTGTCCCATTCTGAGTTGTTCTGCTTTTGCTTGCGTAAAAGTATTTATTCTGTCATACTTTCAGACTACTTTCGATAAACTCGATCTATTAAGTCAATTCATTATTGATAACTTATGACTTCCTGTTGGATATAATAAACGATTTTAATTCTTGTGTGTGTGTGTAATCGTTGATCAGCAAGTTCAATTATCAAGAGAAAATTGCAATGGACATGATCGTCTCAGAGCGCCTTGAAAATTTAATAAACATTTACAGCATAACATAATGTATGTTTATAGCTCTTAGGATAATGGACGGAGAGAAATAAAAGAGAGATGTAAAACGTGCGCAAAAGACATGATAAACAAACAGCAATTCAGTCTAATAGACATTCATTGAAGAAAGTCCAGATTGCGTGATGGTATAACTCCGAATGGATTCTCTGATCGTGCAAGTTTTCCAAGATCGAATGATCGTTTTTTTTTTACCATTCCGCGGAAAGTAATTAAAAATAAGAGTATGAAAGTATAATAAAAGAGTCAAAGAAGAAAGAAGGAAAACTTTGAATTTTTCTTTTACTTTATTTATAGTAACGCTTTGCCAGTAATTATTCTATTACTACATTTCTTGCATATCCTCTTCTTTTCACTATTTTTTTCTTTTCACTATTTTATTCTTTTTTTACCACTCTCTCTCTCTCTCTCTCTCTCTCTCTCTCTCTCTCTCTCTCTCTCTC